CAGGCCACAGTCCATGAGGTCTCAAGAGTTGAACATAATTAAGCACTTTCACTTTCACTTTCTTTCCTCCCAATGACCTCATTTAGGCTTAATTACCCTCTTTAAAGGTCCTTTCTCTAAATATAGTTACAGTCTGAGGTACTGAAAGCTAAAGAATTCAACATATAAATTTTGGAGAAGAGAGTGAAGGGAGAGGCTTAATTACTCTCTTAAAAGGTCCTATCTCTAAATATAGTCACAATCTGAGGTACTGAAAGATAACGAATCCAACATATAAATTTTGGAGAAGAGAATGAAGGGAGAGGGCATATAATTCAGCCCATGAGCACCTGTGACTTGCTTCTAGTCAACAGAATATGGCAAAAGAGAAGATATTTTATGAATAAAATTCATTTCTCAATTCAGTTGATTTTCAGTTAATCAAAGGGGAAATTACCCTGCATGGGGCAGAGCTAGCCAGGCCTAAGACCTTGGATGTGGAGAGAAACTCTCCCTAGGGACTACATAACACTGGAGAGGTCTATGTAGCAGGAACTGTGGGTGGCCTCCAGGATCTGAGCACAGCCTCCAGCCAACAGTCAGCAAAGTGCTAGGGCCCTCAGTCATAGAGATGCAAGGAAATGAATTCTGCCAACAACCTCAACAAGCTTGGAGATGGATTCCACTGCTACCAAGCTTCCAGATGATAATGCAGCCCAGCCAACAACTTTCTTACAGCATTGCAAGATCTGAGCAGAAACCCCAGATAAACCACATGCAGATTCCTGACCCTGGAAACTGTGAGATAATAAAGATGTGTTGTTAAAGAAATATGTGTTATCACTAGATCTGTGATAAGTTGCTATTAAACACTAGAAATGAATACATAACTAGATTGACTTCATTAACATTTGAGGTATGTGCTCAGTTGCTCAGTCGTGTCCAATTCTTTGTGACCCCATAGATTGTAGCCTGCCAGTTTCCAATGTCCATAGAATTTTCCAGGCAAGAATACTGGAGTAGGTTACCATTTCCTCTTCCAGGGGATCTTCCCAATCCAGGAAATGAACACACGTCTCTTGAATCTCCTGCACTGGCAGGTGGATTCTTTACCTCCAGCACCACCTGTGATATCAGACACTGATAATAAAAATGTGTGTTTATGTGTTTTAAATAACCCCATTTCCAGTTATTTTGATGTCTTTATCATTGTTTGCTCTTTGCCTTATTTTTCTCTCATGGTAACTTGTTTTTGTGTACATACGTGTGTGTGTGTGTGTGTGTGTGTGTGTGTGTATTAAAGCAGGAAATATTTTCTTAAATTCTACCACTAGCCTGTCATGTAGCATTCAGTAAGCAACTTGATTGCAATTCATTCTCCCTGTTTTTGTGTATATAGCTAGAAAAGAAGCTGCCAAACAAGGCTAGTAGAACTTTTGGAAAGGATTAGCCTTCAGAAATTGCATCTTGCTACCTAACTGCCATTTTCTAGATGTAACAAAATCCAGTATCCCTTGGGTTTATGATAGCAGCACCCAGGAACTTGAGCCTTGCAGAAAGTTTCAGCTCAGCTCAGTTCAGTTCCTCAGTGTGTCTGACTCTCTGTGACCCCACAGACTGCAGCATGCCAGGCCACCCTGTCCATCACCCGCTCATGTTCATTGAGTTAGTGATGCCATCTAACTATCTCATCCTCTACCGTCCCCATAGCCTCCCACCTTCAATCTTTCCCAGCAGCAGGGTCTTTTAGGCAAATAATAAAGTTATATCACACTGGTGCTTTGGCAAAGTACAAATCTGGAAACTTTATATTATTTCTGATTTTAACAAAAGCATTTTAGACTCTTTTGAAACACTGTTTCAAAACACTCTTTTGAAACAAACATGGCTGTACATGTTTGTCAAAAAATAAATGGGCTTTATCTTTTCCGTTTCTAATTGTATTGATTAGAACCCTCAACCTTTTCTTTTGATGAATCTGGGTAAAGGTTTGTCAATTTTGTTTATCATTTCAAAGAACCAACTTTTAGTTTCATTGATATTTCTATAGTTTTGTTTTTACTTCATTTATTTCTGCTCAATTTTTATGACTTACTGCCTACGAACGTTGGGTTTTGTTTCTCCTACTTTCTCTAATTCCTTTATATGTAAGGTTAGGTTGTTCACTTGTGATTTTTCTTATTTGCTGAAGTAAGATTGTATTGCTATAAACTTTCCCCTTAGAATGGCTTTTGCCACATCACATAGGTTTTAATTATAGTGTGCTTTGCTTTCATCTGTCTCTAGGTGTTTTCTATTTCCTCTTTGATTTCTTCAGTGACCCACCAGATGTTCAGTCATACTGTTTAACCTCCACATGTCTGTGTTTTTCACAGTTTTTTCCCTTGTAGTTGATTTCTAATCTTAGAATGTTGTGGTCAGAAAAGATGATTGATATGATTCCAATTTTCTTAAATTTGCTGAGGCTCACTTTGTGGCCCAGCATGTAATCAATCCTAGAGAATGTTCCATGCACACTTGAGAAGAATGTGTATTCTACTGCTTTTAGATGAAATGCTCTATAAAAAGCAATTAAAAGGATCATAAGACACTACTATAAGCAACTATATGTCAAAAAATGGGCAAGCTAGAAAAAATGGACAAATTCTTAGAAAGATACAATCTCCCAAGTCTGAACCAGAAATAAATAGGAAATATGAACATACCAATCACAGGTACTGAAATTAAAACTGTGATTAAAAAGCTCATATTTCTGAAACTCTTCCAAAAAATTATAGGGGAAAAATAGTCCTATAAACTCATTCTATGAAGCCATCATTACCCTGACACCAAAACCAGACAGGTACCACAAGAAAAGAAAATCACAGGCCAACATCATTGATAAACATAGGTGCAAAATTCCTCAACAAAATACTAGCAAGACAAATTCAAAAATACATTACAAAGATCATACACCAAAAAAAAAAAAAAAAGATCATACACCATGATCAAGTGGGGTTTAATGAAAGGAAGCGAGGATTTTTCAGTATCCATAGATCAATGTCATGCACCATATGGACAAATTGAAGAATAAAAACCATATGATTATCTCAATACAGAAAATACTTTTGACAAAATTCAACATCCATTTATGATAAAAACTATCCAGAATGTGAACACAGAGGGAAAATAACTCAAAATAATAAAGGCCATATATGAAAAACCTACAGTAAAGATCATATTCAATGGTGAAAAGATGAAAGTATTTCCTCTAAGATCAAGAACAAGACAAGGATATCCACTCTCACCACTTTTATTCAACATAGTTTTGGAAGTCCTAGCTATGGAAATCAGATAAGAAAAAGAAATAAAAGATCCAAACTGAAACAAAAAAAGTAAAACTCACTGTTTGCTGATGACATGATAATATAAGCAGAAAATCCTAAAGATTTTAGAAGAAAACTACTAGAGCTCATTGATGAATTCAGTAATGTTTCGGGATACAGCATTAATAGACAAAAATCCGTTGCATGTCTACACTCTAACAACAAAAGACCAGAAAGAGAAATTAAAGAAACAATCCCATTTACCATCACATCAAAAGGAATAAAATACACAAATAAACCAACCTAAGGAAACAAAATATACAGACTCCAAAAACTAAGATGCTGGTGAAAGAAATAAAGATGATACAAAGATATACCAAGTTCTTGGTTTAGAAGAACAAACTTTTTCAAAATGACAATATTACTCAAGGCAATCTACAGATTCAGTGCAATCCCTATCAAATTACCAATGGTATTTTTCACAGAATGAGAATAAAAACTCTTAAAATTTGTATGGAAACACAAAAGACCCTGAATAGCCAAAACAATCTTGAGAAAGGGTAACATAGCTGAAGGAATTGATTCTCTGACTTCAGACTATATTACAAAGTTACAGTCATCAAAATAGTATGGTATTGTTATAAAAACAGAAATACAGGTCAAAGACACAGGCTATAAATTCCAGAGATAAACCCACATATCTATAGTGACCTAATCTATGATAAAGGAGGAAAGACTATACAATGGAGAAAAGACAATCTCTTCAATAAATGGTACTGAGAAAACTGGAGAGTTACATGTAAAAAATAAGCAAATAAAAATCAGAACATTCTTTAATACCATACACAAAAATAAACTCAAAATTTATTAAAGACCTAAGTGTAAGACCAGATATAAAACCCTTAGAGGAAAATATAGGCAGAATATTCTTTGACATAAATCACAGCAATAGCTTTCGAGGCATCTCAAGGCATCTCCTAAAGTAATGGAAATAAAAAACAAAATTAAACAAACATGACTTAATTAAACTCAAATGCTTATGAACAACAAAGGAAACTGTAAACAAAACAAAAAGACAACCCACAGAATGGAAGAAAATATTTGCAAAAGATGCAACCAACAAAGGATTATTGTCCAAAATTTACAAACAGCTCATGCAGCTCAATAGAAAAAAAAAAATGGGTGGATATTTTTCCAGAGAAGACATATAAATGGCCAAGAGGCACAAGAAAAGCTGCTTAACCATCACCAATTATTATAGAAATAAAAATCAAACTACAATGCAATATCATCTCACGCCAGTCAGAATGGCCATCATCAAAATATTTACAAACAGTAAATGCTACAGAGGGTGTGGAAAAAAGGGAACCCTGCTATATTGTTGCTGGGAATGTAAACTGGTACAGCCAGTATGGAAAATAGTATGGAAATTCCTTAAAAAACTAAAAATAGAGTTACCATATGAACCAGCAATCCTAATCCTGCACAGACATCTGGAGAAAAACATGGTTCAAAAGGACACATGCACCTCAATATTCACTGCAGTGCTGTTCACAATAGCCAAGACATGGAAGCAAACTAAATGTCCAACAACAGACGAATAGATAAAAAAGGTTATGGGTTTGTGTGTGTGTGTGTGTGTGTGTGTGTATAGAGATATACACATACACAAAACAGAAACAGACTCACAAACCTGGAGAATGAACTTATACTTACCATGGAGTTAGTGAGGCATAGATTGGGAGTTTGGGATTGACAAGTCCACAATGTTGTATTTAAAATCATAATCAACAAGGTCCTACTGTAGAGCACAGGGAATTCTCCTCCATATTTTGTAATAAGCTAAAGGAGAAAAGAATTTGAAAATGAATAAACACATGTATATGTGTAACTGAATCACTTTCCTGTACACCTGAAACTAACACAACATTGTTAATCAACTATAAGTCAATATAAAACTTAAAAATTATAAATAAATAAATAGGCCTTAAACACAATTCTCTAGAATAGTCATTCACATATGTAGTAAATAGTTCTGAATGCCTACTGTTATGTGAGCTGTGTGCTGAGGGGAAAAATGGGGAAAAGTAGAAATGGAAGAAAGGAAGAAACAAGATTAGAAAGGAAATCAAAAAAGTTTGACAAAAGAGGACCCAAGAATTTATCCAATGAATAGAAAATTGCTGGTCTCAGCTAAAGTGAGGAGATAAGGTAAAAGGAATACAATGTAGAGGACATCACAGGAGCAAAAGTTCTGAGGCATATATGTGACTGATTTGCTCTGAGATTGGGTGTAGTTTAATATGCTGGCAGAATTGTCTGGAAGAAGCCAGGAACTGGAATTTTCCAGGTCAGATTTTGTTCATAGATGGGTTATGATTTAACTGCACAATGGTTATTAAAATTTTTAATTAGCTGACTACATTGAAAAGAACTTAATATATAGCCCATAATACATGCTATATTCATGTTTGACATTAATATTAAAAAATCAAAATATTTATGTTAAAACTCAGATTTTCAGATTTTCTAGATTTTCAGATTTTTCGGGAAGATGAGAAATAGGGAAGCATTGAAGCAATCTACTGGAGATGCTCCTACAGAGAAAATATGTTGCCTCACAATCAGCACACCGCCATGTGAACCATTCCCAGGACTCACTCTAAGTCTTGTCGAACAATTACACTGTTCATTGATCCCTGTAAGCATTTGACTTTTCAAATCCTGATCAGGCCCTCAAGTTCAAGGTTTGTTGTTAACAAAGCATGCTCCTAAATATTTCTCTGAGGAGTTTGAACTTTTTCATAAATACAGTAGAGAACTGTGAAAAAACTATAAATTAAGGAATGACACAATTGTACCTATGTTATATTAGGTTGAACTATATGAAACTGTTCTGTCTCTCTTTTTTTTTTTTGCTAGTCAAAAACAGTGAAATAGCAATTTCCTTTGTTTCAACCTAAGAGAAGGATTATTCTAGTTACCTATGGTAAATGGAATGGAGAAGGAAGAAACTAAAAGCAGAGAAAATAGGTAGGAGGAAATTATAATTATCTCAGTAAGAAATGATGAAAGCCCAAACTGGGATAATGGCAGTGAAAATGAAGTAAAAGAACTGAGATTATACATAGACACATGAATAAGTGAGAACTATACTTTTTGACTATCTGGTTTGAACCCTCAGAAAAACAAATCAGAATAAACTTGGATTTTTTTAAATATATTATACATGTTTAGCCTCTTCTCTATGAGGTACATGCTTTAAGAAGATTTGCTCCACTATACTTAAATGAGGATTACTTTTGTTAGAAGCCATTGTTACTTATGAAAATGAGTATGCCCCTCAAATGTGTGGGAACAGACAAATGTTGCAAACTAAAGTAACTTGCAAAGTGAGAGTTCTAAAGAATACCAAGAAGAGATAAGAAAGCCTTCCTAAGTTATCAATGCAAAGAAATAGAGGAAAATAATAGAATGGGAAAAACTAGAAATCTCTTTAAGAAAATTAGAGATACTAAAGGATTATTTCATGCAAAGATGGGCACAATAAAGGACAGAAATAGTATGGACCTAACAGAAGCAGAAGATGTTAAGAAGACGTGGCAAGAATACACAGAAAAACTACACAAACAAATCTTCATCACCCAGATAACCACAATAGTGTGATCACTCATCTAGAGCCAGACATCCTGGAATGTGAAATCAAGTGGGCCTTAGGAAGCATCACTATGAACAAAGCTAGAGGAGGTGACAGAATTCCAGTTGAGTTATCTCAAATCCTAAAAGATGATGCTGTGAAAGTGCTGCACTCAATATGTCAACAAATTTGGAAAACTGAGCAGTGGCCACAGTACTGGAAAAGGTCAGTTTTCATTCTAATCCCAAAGAAAGATAATGCCAAAGAATGTTTAAACTACCACACAATTGCACTCATCTCACACGCTAGGAAAGTAATGCTCAAAATTCTCCAAGCCAGGCTTCAACAGTACAAGAACTGTGAACTTCCAGATGTTCAAGCTGGATTTAGAAAAGACAGAGAAACCAGAGATCAAATTCCCAACATCCATTGGATGGTCAAAAAAGCAAGAGAGTTCCAGAAAAACATCTATTTCTGCTTTATTGACTATACCAAAGCCTTTGACTATGTGGATCATAAAAAGCTGTGGAAAATTCTGAAAGAGGTGGGAATACCAGACCACCTGACCTGCCTTTTGAGAAATCTGTATGCAGATCAGGAAGCAATGGTTAGAATTGGACATGGAACAATAGACTGGTTCCAACATACTCCAAAAGAGTATGTCAAGGCTGTATATTGTCACCCTACTTATTTAACTTAAATGCAGAGTACATCAAGTGAAATGCTGGGGTGGATGAAGCACAAGTTGGAATCAAGATTTCAGGGAGAAATATCAATAACCTCAGTTATGCATGTGACAGCACACTTATGGCAGAAAGTGAAGAAGAACTAAAGAGCCTCTTGATGAAAGTGAAAGAGGAGAGTTAAAAAGTTGGCTTAAAACTCAACATTCAGAAAACTAAGATCATGGCATCCGATCTAATCACTTAATGGCAAATAGATGGAGAAACAATGGAAGCAGTGAGAGATTTTATTTTGGGGGTCTCAAAATCACTGCAGATGGTGACTGCAGCCATGAAATTAAAAGACCCTTGTTCCTTGGAAGAAAATCTATGACCAGTCTAGAAAACATATTAAAAAGCAGAGACATTACTTTGCCAAAAAAGTCCATCTAGTCAAAGTTTTGGATTTTCCAGTAGTCATGTATGGATGCAAGAGTTGGACTATAAAGAAAGTTGAGCACCAAAGAATTGATGCTTTTGAACTGTGGTGATGGAGAAGACTCTTGAGAGTCACTTGGACTGCAAGGAGATCCAACCAGTCCATCCTGAAGGAGATCAGTCCTGGGTGTTCATTGGAAAGACTGATGCTGAAGCTGAAACTCCAATACTGTGACCACCTGATGCGAAGAACTGACACATTTGAAAAGACCCTGATGCTGGGAAAGATTGAGGGCAGGAGGAGAAGGGGACGACAGACGATGAGATGGTTGGATGGCATCACTGACTCAATGGACATGAGTTGAGTAAGCTCCGGGAGTTGGTGATGGACAGGGAAGCCTGGTGTACTGTAGTCCATGGGATGGCAAAGAGTCGGACATCACTGAGCAACTGAACTGAACTGTGTTTTGTTTTGCTTATAAGCAAAAAGAAAATCATGCTTACCCAAACTATACCACTGGCCTTTGCAGGCGTCCTTGTTGAAAATGAATTGATATTATATATTTATTTCCATTTTTTAAGCCAGAAAAAATCTTTCCAATCCTCACCTCTCCCATTTACCTCACTATCAATACCATGTTCTTGCCTGGAGAATCCCAGGGACAGAGGAGTCTAGTGGACTGCCGTCTATGGGGGCGCACAGAGTTGGACACGTCTGAAGCGACTTAGCAGCAGCAACAACACCATGTTACATTGGCCAATTCCTTCTTTACCTAGAAAATAAAGCGTATCCATTACATCTTATAATACCTGAGAGTAGTCAAGGTCTGGAAAGGAAGACAGGTTTTATATACTTTCTTGTAGTTACTGAAAGGTTAAATAATAACAAAAAAATTACTTTTAAAAACTGCTTTCAAATGATATTTTCCAATAAAATGCCCACATATTATATAAGTCAGAAAATAGCTTTACTGATACTATGCAAGCTATTTACCCACTCTCTGCCTCCATTTTCTCATGTGGAGAAGAAAACTAATAACAGCACCTACCTTAAATGGTTGTTGTAAGGATTAAATGAGTTAATAAATAAAAAGTATTTAGAACTTTGTTTAACATATAGTAAGCATGCAAGAGAATTTGACCATATAAGAAATCTTTCTTAAGTGAACAGTGCAAAGAAATAGAGGAAAACAATACAATGGGAAAGACTAGAGATCTTTTCAAGAAAATAAAGGATATCAAGGGAACATTTCAAGCAAAGATGGGCACAATAAAGGACAGAAACAACAAGGACCTAACAGAAGCAGAAGATATTAAGAAGAGGTGGCAAGAATACACAGAACTGTACAAAAAAAAAAAGCTCTTCATGACCTGGATAACCATGATGGTGTGATCACTCACCTAGAACCAGATATACTGGACTGTGAAGTCAAGTGGACCTTAGGAAGCATTACTATGAACAAAGCTAATGGAGGTAATGGAATTTGAGCTGAGTTACCTCAAATTCTAAAAGATGGTACTGTGAAAGTGTTGCACTCAATATGCCAGCAAATTTGGAAAACTCAGCAGTGGCCACAAAACTGGAGAAGTTCAGTTTTCATTTCAATCTCAAAGAAATGCAATGCCAAAGAATGTTCAAACTAGTGTACAGTTGCGCTCATTTCACACACTAGCAAGGTAATCCTCAAAATCCTTCAAGCTAGGCTTCAACACTACATGAACCAAGAACTTTCAGATGTACAAGTTGGATTTATAAAAGGCAGAGGAACCAGAGATCACATTGCCAACATCCACTAGATCACAGAAAAAGCAAGGGGATTATGGAAAAATATCTACTTCTGCTTCACTGACTATGAAAGAGAGTGAAAAATGGCTTATTTTCTTGGGCTCCAAAATCATTGCAGATGGTGCCTGCAGTCATGAAATTCCAAGATGCTTGCTCCTTAGAAGAAAATCTATGACAAAACTAGATAGCATATTAAAAAGCAGAGACATCACTTTGCTGACAAAGTTCCATATAGTCAAAGCTATGAAGCCTCCTGTAGCTCAAATGGTAAAGAATCTGCCTGT